CCCTCTCTTTCTCAGCCCTCCCCTCCCCCCCCCTCTCCTCTTGGGAAGGAGGAGGAGGTGGTGAGCAACCTTTGAGCTCTAAGCAGCAGCCTCCATGGAGCCTGAACTTTGAATTTGACTGAATATCGATGTGAAAGAGACATTTGAAATGAAAGAGACTAGTTCAAAGCCAAAGAAACTGGTTTAATCCGAAAGTGACGGCATTCCCTTTCACTAGCAAATGTAAATGCCCCCCCTGTCAGCAGAAATCAGGGGCTCCTAAGAAAGAGTAATAAACACCGAAGAAGCCACATTTTCTTAAAGCAGCCGAGTTGCACGTAGGATGGGGCCCTCTCACCGAATGTTGATTCCGCTGCATTCATGGAGCGCCTCCTCACTAGGCACACGTCCAATGTTTCACGTGGTTGTTATGTACGCGCACCCAGTGGTGTGATGGCCGCATAGGACACTAGAGAGACCAGGGACTCGCTCCCCGACATGCACTTTAATGGTTGGAGCAGGTAACAGACAACTGCGGGCTGTGTTAGAATACAGATCATCACTCGGTACTCACTACAACTGCAAAGCCAGCTTGGTAAGGAACGACAATTAGACTTCCCCAATAGCTTGATGTTTACTGTTTGAGGGTCATCATAGAAATTTAAATTGTGGAGTTTGACATACAAAAAAAATGCTCGGTGTACATGTCCTGAAGTTATTGCTAACCCCCGAGAGAGAGGAGAGAGAGAGAGAGAGAGAGAGAGAGAGAGCGCGCGAGAGAGAGCTGCAAACACAGCGGCGGGCAAGTCTGCGCTGCAGGCGGCGCGGGCCTCCCTCCCCCTCCTCCTCACGCTGTAACGTAAGCATCTGAAGCCAGGGTTTTAGTTTTGGGCTCAGCAGTTTGCTCGACATCTGCCCACAGTCATGACCGTCGTCCCGTGTAACTGCGTGCGCCACAGCGGCGGGCAGGTCTGCGCTGCAGCCGGCGCGGGCCTCCCTCCCCCTCCTCCGCACGCTGTAACATAAGCATCTGAAGCCGGGGTTTTAGTTTTGGGCCCAGCAGTTTGCTGGACATCTGCCCAAAGTCATGACCGTCGTCCCGTGTAACTGCGTGCGCGTGCTGCTCGGCCCGCGGGGTGCTTAGGCCTTGGGATACAGCGTGACCGTGTCGTAGCCCTCGGGGGGCCTCGTGCGCGCTCGGGCGTGGGTTTCGCAGTACAGCTCGCCCTCCACGAAGAAGTAGCCCTTCTGTTTGAGGTTGAGGTTGCAGTCGGCACACACGAAGCACTCGGGGTGCCGGTACTTGTCCCGCGCCTTCACCACGGCCCCACTGGGGAGGAGAGGTGGGGAGTTAGAACCGCAGAAGCGAACCCTGGCTCCCAGGTGACAGGGAAGGGGGGGAGGGGCAGGAGGGTCTGAGCCGCATCAGACACCAGCGCCCCCAGCAGTACGCAGGGCCCAGAGGCAGCTCAGATGTAAGTGTCAGGGGGATGCAGGGCGGCCAGGACACCCCATCATGCATCTCCCTCTGAGATGACTGCTTTTCAGATTTGCAAACAAGTCGTTGCCATAACAATTATAGGTTGTTCCTCTAGCATCCCTCCCCGCTGTGTCTCTGAAAGAGGGAGGCGTGATTCTGCAGAGGATTCTGACCTTGGCCGAGGTGGTTGCCTACACTAGTTAGTGGTCGGCAAACTCACTAGTCAACAGAGCCAAATATCAACAGCACCACGATGGAAATTTCTTTTGAGAGACACATTTTTTAAACTTAACCTATATAGGTAGGTACATTGTTATTAACTTAATTAGGGTACTCCTAAGGCTTAGGAAGAGACACACTCAAGGGGCCAAAGAGCCGCATGTGGCTTGCAAGTCGCAGTTTGCCGACCACTGGACACAACTGAAAGTCCCTGTCACGGCCCCACGGTCACTTCTCCCACCGGTTCTGTTCTGCGGCAGTAGCCACACGGAGGCACCACGTGTCACGGCTGTCCGTGGCGGGGCCCAGCCTCTGCTCTGTGCAGCACAGAAAAGACGGACCACAGGGCGGAGATGGCCTTGCTTCTATTGTCACACAGTTTGCTGCCCTTTAGGAGCAGTAATTGCTTTTGCTAACGTGACCAGCTGCCCTGCTCAGGTCCTCTCTACTCCTGAGCTTCCTGTCTTGCCTGCTTCCCCCGCCCTCTTTTTAAAAAATACATTTTTATTGATTTCAGAGAGGAAGAGCGAGCTAGAAACATCAATGATGAGAAAGAATCATTGATTGGCTGCCTCCTGCATGCCTCACATTGGGGATGGAGCCCACAACCCGGGCCTGTGCCCCGACCGGGAATCGAACCGTGACCTTCTGGTTCATAGGTTGATGCTCAACCACTTGGGCTTTCGTAACAGGCTCCTCCCAACCCCTCTGCTCTAACCAGTTTTACCTCCCACCGCCTTGCCTCCTGGGATGGCCCCTGGACACTCGGACGCGTGGTGGCTACTGCAGCAGAACAGCCCGAAAGGGAGAAATGGCCGTGGGGCATTTGGTGGAGAGATGGAGATGACCTGGTTCACGTGAAGATGTGAACTAGCAAGTGTGGGCGTTCAAGCACAAAGGCCCTTGACATGGAAGCTGGGACTCTATTTTTCAAAATCGTGTTTGAATATTTGTGCCACTTTGAGAAAAGGGGGGAAAGAGAATGTGTTGTAAAGAACAACCCGGTGGCCGCCGTGTGTGTTTCCCTGAAAAGGAAAACCTCAAAGTTGGTACCTTAACAAAGGAGGGTGGGGAGACCTCTTTGAAGGGAAGTTTTGATTCTTGGAAATGGTTTTTTAAATATACTCTGGGCAATTTTTCTTTTCATGAGAATCATCTGAAATGGTAAGTCAAGATTTGCGGACTCACATTATGCGCCCATGTGAGGGTACATCTAAGGAATTCTGGTCAAATGAGATATGTGTGGTGGATGCTATATTTCAGGCCAATGGACAGAAACAGGGAGCTGCCACCAAGGTTGACAGGGACCCTGGGTTAACAGTGAAACTCACACAATGCCACTCCCGCACTTGTCGCAGAGCGGCATCCTCTGTGCGCTGCCCCCGCCGCCGTGGGCTTTCGTAACCGGAGCTCTCACACTCCGAGTGCCGGAGGGACGGTCATCTGAAAAGCAAAGTGTCGCCTTTTATGGCAAAGGCACAGCTGGCTGCAGTGTGTACTTGGCTTCTATTTTAAGGCGCGCACTTTACCCGAGGGAATTCCTAAGTTGCCCGCCGCCTCCTGTCCGAAGGAGTGGGGTTGGCTCAAACATGCCTTGCGCCGAAGGACGGGCCTTGCGGAACAGTCAGTGGCAGTTTTTGTTGTGGAAGGAAGCTGTTACAAAATGCTCAGAGGGGCAGAGATTTTGCATTCTTTTTCATCGTGGTAAAATACACGTAATATAAAATTGCCCATCTTAATGTTGTGAGGGTGTACTTCAGTGGCATTGAGTGCATTCACAATGTTATAACATTGTTGCCTATATCCATTTTTAGAATTATTTTTTATCCTCTCAAACAGAAACTCTTTACCCATGAAGCAGTATTACCTCCCAGACCACGGTAACCTCTGTTGTACTTTCTGTCTCCATGACTTGTCTGTTCTAGGTACCTTATACTCACATACGTACAATCATACAATATTTGTCCTTTTGTGTCGAGCTTACTTCATTTAGGGTGTTTTAAAGGTTCATCCATATTGCGGCATGCCAGAATTTCATTCCTTTTTAAGGCTGAATAATATCCCATCGTATGCATATACCACATTTTATTTATTCTTCATCAATAGACATTTGGATTATTTCCATCATTTGGCTTTTGTGAATAACGCTGCTAGGAGCCTTGGTGTACCAGTATCTGTTTGAGTCCTTGCCTTAACTCTCTTGAGTGTATACTTAGGAGTGGGATTGCTGGGTCATGAGGTGACGCTATGTTTAATTTTTCATGCACTGGCGGGACCATCGGCCATGCACAAGGGTCCTCATGTCTCCACATCCTCACGATACTTGTTATTGTCCCTTTATTTTTGAGAACAGCCATCCTAAGGGGGCATTATGCATTTTTGTGCGACTTGGAAAGGACAGTACCTATCTTTTGGAGGTGGGAAAATATTGGTAAGGGTGTGAGCCCTGAAGACAGCGGGAGTCGGCTGCAGACCCAGCTCTGCTGCTCACTGGCTGTGTGACTTTGAACAAACCCACCCTCTCTGTGCCCCCGTTTCTCATTCGTTAACCAGGGAAAGCAGTAGCTCCTCCCTCGCAGTCACCGTGAGGGTGAAATGACCACGTGGGCAAAGTGCCCAGTACAGAAGTGGGAACACACTACGGACTCGTCACATTGTTATTTTAGGTTTGGATGATGACACTCTGGAGTATGCAAGGCTGAGAAATTTTGCAGCGTCCACTTAAAACTCTGTTTAAAATGTGGCAGCTCAGCCAGCCCTTGAGCACTGTGGATGGAATTGGCGTTGGGTGCCTTTTCACCAAGTGACACGGCCTGGGAGCGTCTCTCCTAATCCAGGCACTGCCCGCATCCTCTGGGCCAAGACTCATTTGATTCCCGCATAAAATCCATATTTAGACCTCCACTCCCAGCCTGTTTGCTGTCCTCCCCTCCCCCTCGCCTGCCAACAGGCCCTGCCAATAACTGTCCGCAGGCGTCCCAGCCACTCACCGTCGTTCACCAGCTCCTGGAGCACCCGGAAGGAGCCCGACTGGCGGGGCCGGGAAGGCTCATCCTGACTGTTGTGGAGCATCCGGTACACGTCCGACTGCGGGGGCACCGGGGCCGTGGGCTCACTGAAACGACACGGCAGGCGAGGCAGCGTCAGGGGCGTGCGAGGAGCCGGCGGGCGCCAAGCCACAAGACACCAGTCAGTCATCGCTACCCCTGCAGTAGCTCCTGAGCGGAGATTCAGGATTTTCAGGTTCATCTCTGTTACAGTTCCCAAATGGCGTTTGTTCACCTATTGTGGCCGCCTTAAACATGTCATTCGTTAACCTCAGGCTCACATCGGCACGTCTCCGTTTGGCCAAATACCACAGAGGGCCACGAAGAGGTGATTGTTAGGAAATGGTAATTTAAAAACAGACTTGTGTCTGATGAGTAGATCATTTCAAGTAGGAACAAGATAAACTTTTTCTCAGAAAAATACAGACAACACACACATGATAGGAAGTGCAGGAGTGAGCCCAGTTTGCTTATTCTCAGTCATAAAATTGTCCTTAAATTCAGATTCATTTCTGATGCTAAATCAAAAGTATGTGGTTTAATTTTGCTTTTAGGATTAATTTGCTTTGTTAACTCCTGAAAACAACAAAGGTATAATTTTGTTTGCAAATTGAAGGAATTCATACTGCCAGTGGTTGAAAGTACCTAATGTAGCTTTCACGTATATGTGAGTTATATTGATTTCACTACGTTTCCTAAATAGCTGCATTAAAATTCATTTACAACAACACTGGGAGCTTTATTTTAATAAACTTCTTACAAACATATTCATGATGAACAATAAAAAAATGCCACAATAAAACTACGTCATGATTAAATGCTTTATTAGCTAATGTCACTAATGACATTGTCTAGAAAGGGTAATTACTATCCATAATTTGATTACCTATATCATTTGTGAAAACAATTATCTTATATCTGAATTTCCTTGCAAATTGGCTTTGAGATACATTGTGCTTTATTACCTTATTGTATTCATCCCAAGAAATAGCTTTGGCATATTGCTACATAGCACTCTTAAGAATTATACTATTTTAATTTATAAAAAGTGGTTCTGTAACATTAAAAAATAATAAGATTTTCCTTATAATAAATTTTTAATTGAAAAAAATTGATGGCAAAAGTACTTTAAACAAATGTTTTTAATAAAGAAAAAATTAATCAAAATAGAGACAATTGGAAGTCAAATATCTACATTAACAGCTTAAGATATTCACTTATAAACCCTTATTCATGGCAGAAATTTTAAATGGAAAGTTCTGACCTCTCCACATGATGCCATTGGAAGGGAGAAGTATCATCTTTTTTAAAACTTCTCCGGACCTCTCAGCCCTTCCCAATTTTTGACCCTCCAAGGAGAAACATAGACTTTGCTAGATTGTTAATCACCTTTGAAAGGTGTTGTACCATAACTTGTAAAGTACACTGTAGCTTTTCCAAACACATATACATTTGGCCCTTCCATGATTTTAGCTTATTACGATCGATCGCATACAATTCTACTTAATTCTTCAAATCACTGTTATCGTTAGAGCTAGGTATTTGCAATAAACCCTTAGTATCTCTCCCTTAAAGCTTTTCACATAGCTTTCTTCCCATAAGACAGTGTTAAAAGACACCCAGAAAGCTGGCATTGCCCAAGTGTTTAGTTAGTATGCCCATGGTTCAAAAAGTCTCATATTACCTCATGGAGGGTGCTTCCCCTAGCGCTGTGGAAACCTGACCCTGCAGTGTTTCCATAATATTGTCATCTGAGTACAACTGCATAGGAGTGTTAAACTGAGCATGTACAATCTTCACACCGGGCAGTTCCATTTCCAAAGGAATGTTAGGGGCCATCTTAGCAGCCACTTTCAAGTCACCTGGGCAAATGGTACTAACAGTGCTGATGGAAGAGGGGGTGCTACGTCCGCTGCTACCATCAATACCAGACGGAGTGCTGCATCCACTGTGTTAATGACCACGTTACACAGAGGGGACACATGACAGGAAAACCAGACAGGAGAACACAGAGAACAAGGACAGAGAGGTTAACAGGCTTTGAAGACAAAAAGTGAGAAGTGAATTAAATCAAATTAAAAAAAAGTGTTGATTTCTGGCTACGATTTACTTTAACTAGAAAGGACATTTAAAAAAATCATGGTGGAAAAAAAGTTGCACAAAATTAAAAGGTAGAGGTGATAGCGCATTTTTTGGCTCTGTTCAACCAGGCGATGTGCAAGTTGAAGGTCACACATAAACAAGTTGTATATATAAAGTGGAGAAGATGCGACCATACTCACTTTTTAAACATAGGCCAGATCATTTTAAACTTGATAATATCACAGACAAATGGTGCAGGGAAATTACATTGGCTGGGCACCCTTTTACATTTCTGAGGTACAATATTTAAAATTAAAAGGTTAATGAGTGGTCCATACAAATGGTAACTGAATATGCCACACGAAGGTCCAATTAAATATTTAGGCTAGACATTTCAAAATAAGTACGTTTCAGAAATGCAGTTGAGTTTAATTGAATCACAGAAACATGTAGGTTATGTGATAAAAAGTATGTTTTAAGGCTATGTTGTAAACATTTTATTTGGACTATTTTAACTTTTTCTATTTCACTCTTTAATTTTGTGAGGAATATGCTTTTAAAAACTGTTCAGTGATTGAATACAGGTTCTAGAACAGCCAACAAATGCTTGTCACCTTGAAATTAATGATTAGAGAGCAAATAAGGTAATCTTGGACTCTTCAGAGGCTCCCTAGGGCTAAGGTATATTTCTTTTATACATCGCTATTTCATGCAAACTTTTGAAAACACACATATATTCATGCATACTTATCATTTTCTTTACAGAGAAGAAGGGACTTGTTATTAAAACACCAGAATGGCCAGTCATGCAATTTTCAGGACAGCTGGGGAGAGAGCTCATGTTCTCTATGAAGCGAGATGGGAGGCTGGTCATAACCGACATGCCAAGGACTAAAATGTCAGGTTTCTCCGTGCTTTTTACATGCAACACGAGAAATGCATGATATGAAAATGAAACATACTGAGATTTTTTAGAAGCACAGTCATTTAAGACAAAGCCAAAGGAAATATTAGTATTAATGTAACCTCTGTCATGCCTGCAGGTTAGTGTTGCTGCAAACTCAAGACAGAAAACGATTCATATGGTGTGTTCATCTTAGCGTCAGTGTTCTCTTAGGGCTCAAGTATGAGCCATCTCTGCATTTACTCTCTAGGGCTACTCACGCTAACCTCAGCTCACACAGAGAACACAAACCAAAAGGATTTGGGCATCGATGCTGTTGACTGATTAGTCCGGACAACCCATGCCACTAAATGGATTAAAAGTTGTGTGTTTTTTGTGTGTGTGTGTGTTTTTGTTTTTTTGTGTGTGTGTTTTGAGTGTGTGTTGTGTGTGTGTGTGTGTGTGTGTGTGTGTGTGTGTGTGTGTGAGAGAGAGAGAGAGAGAGAGAGAGAGAGAGAGAGAGAGTGTGTGTGTGTGTGTTTTGTGTTATCCAATTCAACCACCTACACAGCCCAGATGAGGCAGGCAAATAGGGACTTGCTCCTTCACTCCTTGGCTTGAGAATCTGTTTAAAACTCAGTCTGTGAGTTGGTCGATCACAAACCAAAATGTCAAGTGCCTTATTCACTGTTTCCGTAGGCTCAAGGCTACACTGGCTCCTGAAAGTGACTTGGGCGGGTAAAAGAATAGAAGGGAAATTTCAGTCTAAATGCAGTTTAGTCAGGATCCTACTGATTTGATCTAAGTGAAGCTTATTAAATTGTAACTGGGATTTGAAACACTCCAGTTAAACCTTGGGAGACTTGGGCTTAACGTAGTGAACCTTTTCAACAAGCATTGTAACTACTCTGATCTTACTGTGGGCCAGGCATCATGCTAGTGGATGAAGTAGGATCAATTCAGAATTTACAGATACTCCCCTTTCTTATACTTGTAATTAGTAATCCCTTTCCGTTGTTAGTGTTCTTTATACGGGCATGTTTGTGTATATAACTTTATTTAACAAAGGTTGTATTCTATTTCCTAATCATTCTATTTAGGGCCCCCTGTCTATTGAATAGATAGGAAATAAACTCTAAGCAAACTAGAATTAGTTTTCTTATACATTTTGGGACCATTTAAAAAAATCTTTAACCTGATGCTTTAAAAAAATGTTTTTTTTTCCTGGTGTGGCTCACTTGGTTGGTTGTCCCATGAACCAAAAGGTGGCCGGTTAAATTTAGGGTGCATGATTGGGTTTCGGGCTCAATGGGTATGTAGGAGGTGGTCCATTGATGTCTTGCTCTTATATCAATGTTTTTCTCTCTCTCTCTCTCTTTTCCTCTTTCTCTAAAAATCAATAAAAATATCTTTAAAAGAAGTTTTCATGGATTCCAATCACTGTAAATATCATCATAGGTCATCACCATGACCTATTCCTGTGACTTGGAAAGGTAGGTGCTAATGAGATTTCTTGACGTTGACTTACTGACTTGGCAAGACCACCTAGAAAAGTGCTGATCCACCCAGTTACTTCACTCCTGGGTAGATCGAGAGAGAGAGAGAGAGAGAACTGATTTCTCTGGCATATGTACAGGAGTTTTTGGGATATACAGGATTGCATTTTATCATTTGGATCTGTAAAATATCATATATATATATTATTGAATTTTTACAGAGAGGAAGGGAGAGAGGGATAGAGAGTTAGACACATCGATGAGAAACATTGATCAGCTGCCTCCTGCATACCCCCCACTGGGGATGTGCCCACAACCAAGGTACATGCCCTTGACTGGAATCGAACCTGGGACTCTTCAGTCTGCAGGCTGACGCTCTATCCACTGAGCTAACCCGGTTAGGGCCCTTGTATATATTTTTAAGTGATAGTTTTGGCTTTAAAAATTTACATGTTTGCACAGAGAAATACTGGCTTTTTAATGTGCTTCAATAATGATGAAATAATGAAAAGATCCATAACTAGTAGTAAGACCTTAGGGCAGCAATTTTCAACCTTTTTCATCTCATGGCACACATAAACTAATTACTCAAATTCTACAGTGCACCAAAATATAGATATTTCTTGCCCAATTTAGAAAAAAGGTATAATTTTTATTCATTCATATAAGATGGCTATTGTTGTGTTGGCTGTTGTCAATTTTCTATTTGACAATCTAAAGGAAAAGAGGTCAGTGCCCCTGACTAAAGGGTCAGGTGTGGCATATTTTATAAATTCTTTGCGTGGGTCTTGTGGAGCACGTGTTGGAAACCATTGCCCTAGAGATTAACATATCAACAATTTGGCATCTCCAACTTACTTCTGATGAAAAAGTTGGTCATTATGGTGTCCTTATAGCTTGGTATGTGGCCACTCAAAATTCCACCTTGATGAAGAATCATTTGTCCAGAACAAGAAATTCAGAAGGTAGAGCAACAGTGAGGGAGCAAGGAAGGAGAGCAGAGAGAGGCGTTTTTACAGTTCTTTATGATTTGTGTATTGGTACTTGTTTTTAAGCAAGTCTCATCCCTGTTTCTCCTCTCCCCTCTTCCCAATTCAGGTATATTGAAAGGCTTCTTACGATGACACAATTATGAATGGCTTGTTATTATCACCATATCTGAGTTAAAATGAAAATATAGGGTTGGGCAAAAGTAGGTTTACAGTGGTTCACATGGAAAATAATACAATAATTAATAAATAATAATAGAAGAATAAGCTGTGTTTCATGTGCTTACAACTGTAAACCTACTTTCACCCTAGCCTGTATAAAAGGCAATCACATACCTAAATCTCTCTGACTTGCCCTGAAATTTTATAAAATTAAATGTTATTGGTTTTTAGCAAAGGCAAAATATGTTTTACTCTAATGTATCATTTTATTCAAGCCTCTTGAAGTCTTATAGCCCATGGTAGTGAATTTAAGGTATGCTAACCTCAAAGAACACAGATGTATTAGGTTAACTGTTTTCTTTAGGAGGATGTATATATATTTATTCAATAGTAAAATAGCATTTTAACATTTAATTGAATGTTGTTATATATAATCAGGACTGGGGTTGGGAAGCTGTTGAATGTGGTGAAATAGGAAAAAGGTGCAGAAGAAAGTGGAATGGGAACAAGGGGACAAACAGAAGTGAAAAAGGACTGTGCAGAGTAGACGGTGTGAGGGAGGGATCACAGCTCCTTGCTCTTCTTGCCACTCAGGAAATATCAGGCAATCTTTGAGTTGTGTTCCTTTATCTGATGACATTTACTGGGGATGCACTTTGTGCCAGCTGCATTTGTAGGTGGTGGATGTAGTCATGCGTTTTCATTCTAGTGAGGGAAGACGTATTTTGTAGACATCTTCCTCCTGCTCTTTCTAAGTGATATCACAGAAGTGCCTGGCTTATTTTGAGGTATCCTCTGCTCCTGACTCTAGCATCTGAAAAGGCCTGCACATGTGCATCGCATATAAGTGATGACTGACCATCCAAAGCTGGCACCATAACCTCAGGTGTCTCCAAAGGCCAGGAGGGTCGCATCTATAGGAAAACAGGCCAGGAATCATATACTTGGGAGTGATGCACATATATTTGGGCAACTAGAGAGTAGCTGTTCCATCTTAAAGGCACTTAACTAAATTCATTTAAATAATCAGAGGGTTAAATAAAGCACTACTTGTGAATGAATCCCCCTGTAGCTCACTAGTTTGGGAAACCTGATATAGATCATCAGCCAATGATCCTAACTGGCTAGGATCCATGCGGCCTGACCGTCAACATCCTTCCTCGGGGCTGACTGATGTAGCTGAGGCCAGAGGAATGGGTTTGAGGTTTCCTGAAGTCACCATTTCTTGATGTGCTTAAGACAGGGCAAAGCTCATCCCTTCCCTTGGGGGTTGGCGTTCACTTCCCAGGGAAGATACTTGAAGGATCACCTGAAGATGGTCTCTCCCTGACTGACAGTCAGCTCTGAAGCTTCCTCATTATCCCAGCGTGAACACAGTTTTCCACGAGGGTAACCAATCTACACCCCTCCCTCCCAACTCTGTCATTATTACTTATTTTCCTCCAGGTGGAAAAGTTCCTTTTCAATCCCCTCTTCCTTTGCAAGTATCCATAGGAATGCAAATTGATGTTTATGTAAGTGCTGGAAGGTGTGGGTTGCTCAGCTGCTCTGATGGTGTGTGGGGAGCAGGTGCTGAGGTGGGGATGATAAGGGTCGAACAGAGGCAGCTACCAGTGTCCCCACCTGTGCCCCCACCCCCGCCCCCCGCTGCTTCCTTAACTCCTGATGGGAGAGCTGGTTTCCACTCTTGTTCCTGGTGGCTGGGCCTTCCCGAGCTGGGATCGGGACATCTGCCTGCCTCAGAGGTCAGTGAGTCCTGATGGGATGCCGGGGGTATTAGTTATAAATATACGTGGTGATGGCAGAGCATTTGAAGCTCTGTAATCTTGTCAGTGTTTACTCTTGGAAATGGAGGAGGTCAGTTGGCTCTCTACTCTGCTGAGCTTGCTTCCTTTGCTTTTGAAATAAGCTTCAAAGTGGAAAAAAAATAGTCACTCCAAACGCCTCACAAGTTACTTTTCTGGGAGATTAGTAAAGATTCATTAAAGAAGCATGCACTCCAAATTTCACAGTCTCAAAGCTTATGACCTGCTTCGGCCTGGGATTATGAAAGGTTTGGGCCGAATATTGTGCTTGTGTTCAAAGTAGTTCACATCCTGTGAAAACAAAGGGTTAAACAGTCCCTCAGTGGAAGACTAATCTGTGACTTTAGATAAAATTAAACAAACAATAACAGTACAGAGCAGGTTATTTACCACCAAATATTGACATGACTAAGCAGGGTGATGATGGAACCCGAGTGGTTTCTTCCTTTTAACCATAGACTCACTAAACGTCCCAGGACCGGCAGCTTGGAACCACAGTCTAGAACTAGATGCTTATCTTTAAGTCAGGAAAGTAAAACAGCAAGAGCTGGACGTTGGAAAGGAAGAGAAACCGGGCTATTGCCATGAGGAATGCGGTGGCCGGAGGCGGAGGCCGGTACTTACTTTTGAGGTGAACTAGGAATAAGACCCCGCAGCTGTCCGTGGAGCGCATCTTGTATATTGCTAGTTGAATAGAGCCCAATGGGTGAGTTATAGGAAGCGCTCACTACCTGTCTTTTGTCATCAATGTTTGCTGCTGCAACAAAAGGCTGGGCCCTTCTGTTGTGCGAGGTACCAATGGCTTTGAACTCCTGTACATGGCAGACAAAATACACAGAGCCACAGAATGCACAACAGAGCCGTTAATGAGCAAACCAACAGCAATCGCGACGGTTAATCAAGGCTTCTTACCCAATACAAGGTTAATGCGAGGTTAAAGGAGGAGTCAGGCATAAACCTTTCTGCATTTTCTGTGAACTTGACCTGTGTTGTCTTCATCCACCAGATATTTAGGTGCAAAGGAACCGACCTTATTTGTAATCTTATAAAAGAATTCAAACACTATATCTTTTGTCTGCCCCTTGTTAACTTCTATATCCATAGCTTTTAGAAAATTCTCATTTGAATAGAGAAATTTTGTGTTAAAAATGAGACTTTTAGCTTAAAAAACTATTCTACTTAACATTTTCTAAGGTAGAACTTATATTTGCTTTATCTCCTATTAATATATTAATAAAATTTCCCCCATTTTAGGAAATGAAGGAATAGAACGGCCAGAAAGGGAGTGAGCATTTGTAAGTAAAAGTTCTTTTTTTATTGTTTAAAGTTTTACATATGTCTCTTTTCCCCCCGATTGACCCCCCCCCCTGCTTTTTCTTAATACCCACAATAAAAAAGCAAAATTCTTAATGTGGATTAAGTTATACCTTAAGTTTAGAAAAAATAGTAATTCAAAGACTTGTTTCTGATGAAAGTGGGAATAACATTGATATAAAACCTCCTTTGCTTTTATTGTGATGATTTCACTGCTATGTGTTTTAAGAACTCTTCATGTTTACTCTAGTTCCAGAAAGATTAAAGTCAGTAATGTAGAGAGAGCCAAAGCGTGTGATTCACAAAAGGATTTTCACTTTATTATTCAGGGAAAAGGATCCTAAACTGAATTTGAAATATGTCTGCATGATCTGAAACTCTACATTATTATGTTAATGTCAGAACCATGTTTTCTAATTTTTATGTAGATCTACAATGTCATAAAGTTATTACAGTTATTTTCATAAGTTACTACATTTATTTTCAAAAGAGAACACTACAACCCACATGAGCTGATTCTCTTTCCAAGTCTTTTCGTTTGGCAGACTTAGGAAGATAAGTCTTTGCAGCAGTATTGTCACTCACACGTTCACATCAGCTTCACTTGTTTTTGTGAATGTGTCACCAGTGTTCCACACAAATTTCAAGTAATACAAACATTTATGATTGTTTGGAATGTTACCAGAAAGAGTCGTTTTATTAAAAAATAAAAAGATCTTGTAATGTTCTTATTCATATCATTTTTTTCCTTCTTGTCATTACAGATGAGTAAGTTGTGGGATAGTGTTTTTTTCTTTTTTTTCTTTTTTAATTAGAAAAGAGACTATCTCCCTTTTTTAGGGCTGTGTTTTATGATTAACCATTTTGATTAGCCATTATTATGGCATGAAATTGTGAACTGGAAATAATTTTAAGTAATGATAGTGGCCATGATTCAAGCCTTTGTTACTCTTTTCAATATGAAAGAAGACAGACGGCTAATTGCTTAACTGCCTAGTTTAGTTTTGGTGGATTATAACTCTCTCAGGCTAATTAGCAGAGTGAATCGGCAGAACTGAAGGGCTCACGCTATTTGGAACTTAGCTTTTTTTTTGGAAAAACAACAAAGTAGGGTACACTCTAAATATTTTGGTAAATATAATTGAATTTATGAAAACTAGTTAACATCATGTGATGGCTTTATAGGAAACATTTCTGTCATTATTTTATCTTATTAGTCTTAAATTGGTCAATAAACATGGATGGCGATTGTCTTTTAAGGGAGGGAACTTTCTGAAAAGATCTGTGCACTAGTAATCTCTAGTGGTGCATCCAAATAGCAGCACATACGTTAGTCAGCTCCAAGCCTTCCTTTGCCATTTTCAGGTTTGGTTATATGTTGCAAAGGTCACAAATGTGTAATTTGTTAGGAAAAAACACTCCCTTTATTTTCTAGTCAGATCATAAAAGGAAGTTTTTCTAATACAGGCTTCCAACCCTCATATTCAGGCTTTGCAAAGCATTAGTTCATGGGTTGCTAGAGTCATTCCAAAAGCAGCACCATGAAATGTGTCCGCCAAAGGTAAACAACAAATGTAAAACTGCACGGAGGCAACCTTCTGTCCGCCTCACATCGTTGTTAGCGGTCAAACAGGATGGAGAGACCAAACCAATTGGAAGTCTGCTATTCCACTTTAATTTCCTTTTAATTTTATAGTGGAAAACCATTCGTAATGGAAAATACTGGTAAAAACTTTAAATGGCAGTTAATCGAGTCCAGCTCTTGTGTTTATTCTACCCAGACAAAAGCATCCAAGTGATTCATATCTCTTCGGCAGTCAATAAATAACCATTGCAGTTAATTACATTTTTAAATATTATTGTTAAACGTTAGGAGCTTATATTGAGGAATGATGTTTTGAGTTAATGAGATGCGAGGGCTGTCTAAAAGCAGAGATCTGCTGACATTGGGAGAAAGCAGCTCTTGACACCCGTCTCCCAAGTCCCCGGGTGACCTCAGCAGTGACAGCACTCAGAGACAGTTCCCCGCTCAGTTTCTCACTTGGAGGAGTTGTCAGAGGTGAAGACTGAGTCTGAGAACTGAGGCAGTTGTCAACGCCAACCAACAACATGTGTGTAATACACACATATATTAATTATAAGGAAAAATGGTGGGGGAGTAAGGGGAAGACGATATCAAGGGATCATACGTTTGATCAAGCCACGCTGACTAAATGATTACATTTTATGCCTGAAATCCATGAACACTCACCTCCCCTGCCTCATCCTCACCCCACAAATGAAAAATAAAGTCACCCTATGATTACTTTCTGCAGTAATCATAAATTACTGCAGAAAGTTTCACGTTTTTCCCATTTCTCACTGGGGAAGAATTTGGGGACATAGGGATTGGGAAAGCTTGCTTTGTGTAGGCTGCCATCGGTTTTCAAAATACTGGAGAACAAGGTTATTTTGTGAACATAGAAAGAATGCCAACCCTTACCCCACGTGACGGTACATGTAGTACATCCTCATTATCAAATCTTCTATGACAAGGATTCCACCCTGTTTATGGGCGTGGAAACAGCCTTCTTCTCATTTAGAAAAGAGCCATTTTTGTTTCGAGAAAGCACCTCTTCTGCCTCGTGAAAGCTACATCGTCATGTTGAGTTGTTCAACTCACAGTAAACAAACATGAGGGTAATGTTTTGTTTAAGAATGTAGGCTTTGGAGAATGACATAGAAGTCTACGTCCTTAGTCTAGAATGCTTTTAGTCTAGAACAATGTTTTTAGCCTGCCTTTAGTGTAGAACAATGTTTTATATAGAAAAATGTGAGCCAGGCTCTGAGTTGAATGAAAGGTGTTTATGCAATGGCTGGGGTTAACCTAAATAACCTCTAAAGTTTCAAGTCTAAATTCATAAAAACAAAATTTAACTATTTCATAATGGCATAGAAAAATGAAAAAAAACCCCTATATATTAAATTTTTATATCAATTATCACTATAATTGTGTAAGAAAAAGTCTCTAAAGCCTAACCCTATGCACAGGGGGAAAAACTGGAAATAACTATAAAAAATATATTATTTGTGGTTGTGCTTGGATCTAGGATATATAGTAGTGGGTTTTCCCCCCAACAAACATATATTACTTTTAAAATGAAAAAGAGTATTTTATTCCAATAGCAAAGGCCACATAACTTACAATAAATGCTTGACTTGGGCTGAGCAACAAGAACCCACATTGTGTATTGCTCAAAGGCATTTTCCTGCTCACCTGTGTGGCATCTTGAAGCATGATGTGTCAATGGCATTTGTTTCTCAGACTAACACACCTTTGTTGTCCAGAAGTTTGCAGAGTTCTCATTTGGGGTGTGAGGGTGGGTATTAAAAAATAAAGAAGAAGAAGAATAGAAACATAACCTCAGTTTAGCTTTCTCCAGTCTCATCCTACAAGGGGCACCCACTGCTTGGCTTTATCACTGGGTTCTGTGCTGGTGTATGCGGTGGGACTTCAGGTAGCAGAGGCTACAGAAGTGAGTTGTGCTGTGCAGGGAATGTCTGTCCCAAAGTGCCGATCTCGCAGAAACCTGGCCTGAGGATGTCAGGAGGAGAAACCCTCTGGTCCGTTAGGGAAGGAGCCCAACTGGTTCTTATCTCAGAGCCCTTCACACACGGGCCTCTGGGGGAGGGTATCGGTGAGAAGTACCCGTGACTCAAACTGAAGGAATGTTCAGAGGCTCCATCTGACTGGCTTCTGAGCCCTTAACCCAATCTTCACCTTTCTTTTTAAAACCCTACTTCCTTCTCTATCTTTCCCCCGTGCGTAGTATCATAAATGTCCGTATTGTCTACACCCCAAAATGCAGGACACCTGGGCTAACCCATGATTGTTGAGAGGGCAGAGTGTTTCAAGTTAGGGTTACGGTTTAAAATTCAGTTCAGCTTAGTAAGTACAGTAGTGGCTGAGTCAGTCACCCACACTCCAGAGGGGGCGCTGTGACCTGATCAGGGATCACTGGGGCTTTGGGAGTTGGGTCAAATTTGTCTAATTGGCCCTCTACCATGGCATCTCACATGGATGAACTTGGTTTTAAAAAATCAGTAGAGATTTTGAAGGGAAAAATAATTTGCAAAAGGATGCAGTACAATTTTGGATGTGTGCTATATGTGGAAGAGGCAATTCAGAATTCTACCCAGTTTGTCCTGGTGATAATGAGATTGGGGTCAGCAAATGCATGTTATCTGAGCCTCAAATTTCCCTTTTCTTTCATTCTTTTTTTTTTTTTTAAAGCACCACATAATCTCTTTTTCTCACGTGTGGCCTCTAAGTAATGAATTGATAGGATGGGAAGAAGCCAGTGGGCTTGGCTATCTACGAGTGTCAGCTCTGCATCAAGAACTCCATTTTCTCTTCTTTCAGTCTTTTTTTTCTATCAAATATAGCATTGATTAGTGGTGTTATTACTCACCAACCCACCTGGGAGCATTCGGATCTCTTCCCACCATACTTACTGCCTGCCTTACCCATTTTTTGCTCGCTTACCCTCATCTGACCTAGGTATCCCCTTCGCCTTGCGCAGTCACTTTTACCTGCAGCAGCAGGGGTTTGGGGTGGGGTGGGATGGAGGTGGGCCAGAGCACTGTGCTGAGAATTGGTTTCCAGGATTGGTTCTGGGCAATGTTAGAAAACACAGCTTATCTTTAGACCCTCTCATTCCTTTCATGTTTGAATCTAAAGGAATCTGTGATGACCCTCGTGACCGTGAAGAGGAAGGCATCGTGGTGTCGAGGCAGCCCTGCCACAGTGGCAGCTTCCTGTCTCGCTGTGGCGAATAGGCCAGGCGCCTTCTGATCACAGCCTGGTGGGAGGGGCTCCTGTTCCCATAATTACAAGAGCTCCCACTGAACTCAACATCTCTATGAACAATTCGATGTGCCAAGTTATTTGACTTTTCTTACTCAAATTTTACTTTGTTTCTCTCAAATCTTTGAGAAACCCTGTGAGATCCATGTACCTGGGTTACTCTGCATGTAGGTTACAGAGAGGAAATGGAGGCTGGTGGAGACAAGTGGGGAACCTGCAGGGCAAATGCCAGAGTTGAGGATCCTTGAGGATCCTGAAGGGGAAACAGTGCTGAAGCATAAATTACAAAGGTGCCTGCAGTTCATTTTCATTATCGGCCTAGGAGAACTACATCTTGGAATGTCTACTCAGGTTAGCAGGAACACTTGTTCTAGAAGGGATATTGAGTTTATATAGCTGTCTCTCTAAATTTGGGGAGCTTCTAAGGAGAGGTTCTAAAATCCTTTTCTTAACTTCATTTTCCATACAGCACAATTGAGGGTTGGTTTACTTTCAGATTTTTGGGGCCTTTGAGAGAAGACATGGTCAGATAAGCATCAGATTATTAAATGAATTTAGCTCAATAGATAGTGTTGCCTCAAGGGAAAGTCCTTTGTCTTTGTAATTCAGCTGCATGAGCAGACTATCGCGACGATTACATAATGCAAGACTTTTCCTAGAGTAAACTTAATTACAGAATGCCAGAACTGAGAATTAAAGAAGGATATAAAATGAGATGTGGGTGAAGACCTCGAAGGATTGAAGTTCCCAATAACAGATTGGAGATACTTGTTGCAAATGGCTGCCCACCCCATTTCTGCTTTGTTTTAACACCTTAAACTTCTTGGATTACCTCCTGGTCATTTGGCAGAAATCCATCATAAAAATGAAAAAAAGAAGTGGACTGTGTGTAAATATAGGCAATTCTTTCCTGCTTAGAACATGTTTGTCTTTTGACAAGATGTTTGCCTAGGCATCTATCTTTGTTTTCTTGATGTAAGAAAACATGGGTAATCTAAATTAATCTCAGAGATAAAGGCAGACAGCTGCTTCGTCAGGTGACTTATCCCAGTTTTTGGTATTTGTCACTTCTTCCTCTTGGAAGTCACCCACATCATTTAAAAGAAGGTGTAAAGTCAACATCATTCACTCTAAGTCATACCTGTGGTTCTGATTCTAAGTTGATTTTGAAAGGATGAGCCTTTCCATCTTCAGATACCTGTGGAGACCATAAGCGAGTTTCCGCCCTGTAAGTAAAATAAATTCGTAAACACCGAAGTCTAATATACTTCCAGTTTTAACATCCTTCCGTTTCCTATGACGTTTGTGAAAATAGTACCATCCCTTGATAATTTAAGCAAAAGCAATATTCCTTGTTCATTATTCTGCATTCTCCCATCTAATTAGTCTTACATATTTAGTGTACTTTGAGGGAAACTCGAATGGATCAAGATGGGTTGCTATGGACTGTTTGTAAACTGCCCCATCCCTGCCTTCCACCCGAATCATATGTTGAAACCCTAATCCCCAATGTGATGGTCATTGGAGTTGGGGCCTTTGGAGGGAAATTAGGGTTAGATTAGTTTATGAGCACAGTGGAATTAATGCTCTTCTAAAAAGAGGGAGAGACACAAAATGTGTGTGTGTGTGTGTGTGTGTATGCACCTGGGAAGGCCACTAGGACAGCCAGGAAGAGGCCTCTCACGGAGAACCTGAGCATGCTGGCACCCTTATCTCAGACTCCCAGCCTCTGGAACCATGAGAGATAAGTGCATGGTGTTTAAGCCACTGAGTCATCCGTGGGATTTTTGTTATAGTGACCCAAACTGACTGAGGCAAAGACATTGTATAATTTCTGGAGAAAGTAGGTGTCCAGTGCATGTGGAAGACAGTATAGGAGGGAGATTCTGCAGGGACCCCTGTACATGACCCAGGGCAAGCTCCCAGGTCTCCTCTAGTGCCCTGTTAGCCTACCCAGGCCACCAAAGGAGACGGGGAGTGACTGGCCAGGGGGACTTGCTGCTGGCATCAAGGATCTGCCCTTTGTCCAATCCTTTTTATGGATCTGGTTGGGATGGTGTGCTTGGCAGGTACACAGGTGATGCACAGAC